AGTTGGTAGCTTTGAACGGCAAACCTTTTTGATTAGTGACTGACACCTGACCACTGTCCCACCAGGGTCCTAAGCAGAATACATGCACTCACTCACTGCCATTGAATCGAAACTGACTCATAGCTGACCCCTCCAGCAGGTTTTCAGAGGCTGTAAATGGCATAAGAGGAGAGTGCCCATCTTTCTATTGTAGATCAGCTGGTGAATTTGAACCACTCATCTTAGGGTTGGCAGCGCAGCTCCTTAACCCACTAGGCCAGCAGAGTTCCCACTAGGGAGTGTTTTTTATAGGCCCTTGTAGCACACAGGAGGTCAGCCTGCAGCTTTGCAGGGTTTACGCTACCACAAACTGCTCTTTGGTAAGCCTCTGCTTCTGGTGTTTCCACCCCACGCACCAGGACAGGGGGAAAAAGGGCTCCCTCAGGCATGGCCAGAGGGCAGCTCTTGCATTCACAGCAGCTGGAATATGAGAGAGATTTGTGGAAATACAAGGAATACATTTCTGATGTAATGATACCTGCTGCATAATTAAATAATAACAGAAAAATCCATGCCAAGTTCAGTGCTTAATGGGGAATAGTTAAGTCAATAATGATAAATTATTATCATTTACACACCTGTGAAAACCAGTTACTGCTCTAACTTGTAAATTTATGATTTGATATTTTTGTTTACAATTCATGTGACTCATTTCACTGCTTCTGGGAGTGTAAGTTAGAAAGAGAACGTGACAGTTTGTAGATTGGAAATGTGACCCAGCAATGGCACTACCAAGAAACATACCGGTGGACAGAGGTCTAAATAGAGGGTGTTCACTCCAGCACCGTTTGTACTGGGAAATACTGGAGAGAATCCAAATTTCTGTCAACTGAATACTAGAGAAATGCAGTAATGTGCATGTACACAGCTATATAAAGGACAGCTGTGGGAAGGACAGGAATTTGACCCTGTGGTCTGTATGGAGAGTTGACAGTGAACTTAAAAGACACACAACATCCAAGATCCTGTCTTAAGAGGAGAGGAAAGTAACACCAAATGTATGGCATCGTTCATGGCCCCTTGCCCCCCACCCCATGTAACAATTTCAGTTCATTGCTCTTGAACATATATATGTGTTAACAAATGCATAAGAAAAAACTTGCAAATGCATCAGCAGTCATCTGTGGTTTTCAGAGGAAGGGGACTGAAAAGAACTTCCACTTTCTGAGAACTCTGCAGCCTGTGAGGTTAATTTTTAAAATAATACCATATGTTTTAGATCAAAACGAGAGAATTAGTTTCTCCTTTAAGACATTTTGGTACAAATTGTTGGATGTCGCTAGTTAGTTTTTCCATAGTGCAGCATTCTTTTTTTATTATTATTATTTTATACTGGTTTGCGTACAAAGTTTATATACATTGTTTTTCACACCAGATCTTTCCGTTTCTTTTACCCACCCCACCCTCCTCTTACCAATCAAATTGTGTGACCCTATGATTAACCCCCTGGCCATCCTCACCCCTCTGCTCCCACCCTCCCCACCTTAAATCCTCATACCCATTTTACTAGTTATCTTTCTATTTTTACAATAATGGTTTTATACAGTATTTGTCCTTAAGGGACTGAGTTAGTTCACTTAGTATAATGCTCTCCAGTCCCTTGCATGTTAGGTAGTAATTTACAAAATTATTGCTCCTGCATGCTGCGTAGTATTTCATCTTGTTTGTTGATTGCCTTCGAGTTGAGCACGACTCATAGTGAAAGGGCCTAAAGCCCCTCTACAACTATCGACATTGATCAAAGTTCATAGAGTTTCCAGAGGCATGTTGTTTAGGAAGTGGATAACACTCCTGCTTCCAAATTTCATCTTGTGAATGTACCAAAATTTCTCAATCCATTCGGTTGTGGTTGGACATTTGGGCTGTTTCCATGTTCTTGCCGTGGTGAATAAGGCTCTATGAACATTAATGTACAAATCTCTATTTTTGTCTAATTTTTCATTTTCTTGGGGTGTATTTCAAACAGTGGAATAGCTGGGTCATATGGAATTTCTGTGTTCAGCTTTTTTTAGGGAAATGCCAAATGCATGCAGCATTCTTGTTACTTGTATTCTCCTTGTTTAGTCTCCGTGGAGATGTCTTCCTCTCCCCGCCTGGCCTTCTCATCTTGGGTAACTTGACAGTCTGCTCTTGTGTAGTTCATCTTCAAGGGAGCTTATTATAGGTGACATTGCTGCTTTTTAGATCAGCCAGTCTGTTCTTTGACTGAAAGGTGACTTAACAGAAATTACTTCAGTTCCAAGCTCACAGGGTATCTATGGATGTTATAGTCTCTTCTGTTAATCTCTGCTGGTCCAGGAGATGTGACCTCTTCTTCTTAGGAATTTGAGCTTTATTTTGCATTTTTCTCCCATGGTGTTCCAGATCCTATCTTGTGTCCCTTCTCAGAAGGGTTGGCAGTGGTAGCTTGGCACCATCAAGGGCCTCTGTTCCCTGGTTTGAAGAGGTCGTGGTCCATGTGAGCTCATAGCTCTGTGGACCAGTATCTCCTTTGAGCCTTTGATTTTCTTCATTCTCTTTGGCTCCATATGCATAGATGGTGTATCCCAGGTGGCCACTCACAAGCTTTTAAGATCTCAGATGCTACTTAGCAAACCAGCATGTCAGACATTGTCCTTGTGAACTATGTTATGCCAATCGACTAAGCTGTCCCCTGAGACTGTTTATCTTGGGAAAAGTACAGCCAGAGTGCTTGTTGGAGGCAAAGATGACGAAGTTCTGTCTCTCATACTTTGAACATGTTGCTAGGAGAGGTGATTCCTTGAAGAGAGACATCATGCTTGGAAAGATGGAGGGTCAGCAAATAAGAAGAAGACGACCCCCAATGAAATGGATAGATACAGTGGCTGCAGCAGTGGGCTCAAGTGTGTCAGAGTTGATGAGAATGGCACAGGATAGTTCCGGATTCAGGTCTGTAGTTCATAGGGTCACCATGAGTCGTACTCAGTGTCACCTAACAACAACAGTGACTAATGAGAGAACTCCAGTGGCCTTGTGATAAGGCACTGAACTGCCATCCTGAAGGCATGCAGTTCAAACCCACTAGGTGCTCCACAGGAGAAAGCTGGACAATATCCAGTGTGATTTACTGCCTCTGAAAACCTGCTGGAGAGTCAGTTATGAGTCTGTTCCAACTCAGGGGTACATAATAACAAGGTTTAGAAATGATGATAGTTATAGAACAGAGTTATGTACAGAAATGATGTTAGTCATAGAACAGAGTTTAGGTCTTTTGTGCAGGACTTACTCTCAGTTGTATTCGACTTGACGACACTTAACCACTGCTAAGTGAAACTGGTGCTGTTATATCTGGAGGAACACTCTTCCACTTTGCACATCACTCTTTGTCAATGTGCTGCATGAGGTAACCTGGGTTGCTGTAATGCTGAACCTTGCACCATTGCAGTATCAATACCAGAATGGCTTCCCAGTGTAGACAGTGTTTGGTGGAGCTCCCAGTTGTAAAACAGGTTGGGAAGCAAGAGTGGCATCCACTTCCTAAACCACATGCCTCTGGAAACTCTATGATCTTGGAGAAATGATGATAGTTATGGAAAGGCATTAGGTCTTTTGTTCTTAGAGTCACTATGAGTCACGCTCGACTTGACAACACTCAACAACAACAAATAGAGAAGCCCTGGTAGCATAGTGCATAACTACTAGACGGCTAACAGAAAGATTGGCAGTTTGAATCTACCAGATGTTCTAGGGGAGAAGGATATGCAGATATCTCAGTGAGGATACGTGGACTCAGAAACCTGATGGGCGATTACTCTGAGCTGCCTTAACAGCGGTATGGATTTGGATGATAAGGAACCCTGGTGGCACAGTGGTTAATCATTTGACTGCTCACTGAAAGGTTGGCAGATCGATCCAACCAGCCACTCCGTGGAGGATGTGACAGCCTACTTCTGTAAAGATTGCAGCATAGAAAACCCCAAGACACAGTTCCTTCTCTGTCCTGTGTAGGGTCTCTGTGAGTCAAAATTCACTCAGTGCATTACAATGAAAGAGTTTTTCTTTTCAAGGAGAAGAGTGATTTGGGGGAAGGGGGTGGACAGGGAGAAAAGTGCAACAGTGAATGACTGGAAATCCTGTCTCTGTAAACTTTCATTAAAATTAATAAATAATTTTTTTTAAAAACCCAAAAGAAATTCACTCAGTGGCAGTAGGTTTGGATTCGAAACAGTTAATGATGACGGTCCTCTACACGCGCCTGAATTAGTCACCTGAATGGCCAATTTGATGATGTGCTTTCAATTTTTACAATAAGTAAATCATACTTTTGGAACCATAAGGAAAGAAAATTAAAAATCACTAAATAAAGTGCAAAGTCCCATTGACCTACTCTTCTGAAAGGAATAAGTTACATTTATAACATAACCTCATTTTATAAAGTTACATAGAAAAGATCTGGAAAATAGCTAGACCAAGGTGTTGACCCCACTACATGTCAGTTTATATACTGTGGTGGTTTGAAGGTTGCGAGGATGGTAGAAGCTGGTTCACCAGTATTTTAAATACAGGATCATTCATCCAGGACAGATTTCAACAACACTTCCATACTACAGTGAGTAGGAAGTAAGTCCTGGTGATGTTCTTCTGAATTAGCCAATTGAAACCGTGTGCATTCCTGTAGAATATTGTGTGAATTGTGCTGGAGGTGAAATCCTTAAATTAGAAAGCAACATTTCTTAAGCTGAAGGAACTGAAGAACAAATTCAAACTTTGAGTTGTAATACTTAAGGATGCTTAAGTGGGCAGAATATTGAATGACCCGGGAAGCATCAGAAGAAGATAGAAGGCTTTTTTCCTCAGTTGCCACTATGGTGCTCCATTTTTCCAAGGAAGCTAAGGCCACTTTGGGGTGAGGCCCTCACTTCATCCAGCGACTAACACCGTAAGCCTAGCAACACTGCACCACGGCCTGTGTCTAAGAGTTCACCTGCATCTCTACTCAGCCCGCATCCTTCACAACAGTGGGGTGACTGTCACGGAAGATAAAATCAATGCCCTCATTAAGGCAGCCGATGTCAACGTTGAACCTTTCTGGCCTGGCCCTTTTGCAGAGGCCCTGGCAGATGTCAACATTGGGAGCCTCATCTGCAATGTGGGTGCTGGTGGACCTGCCCCAGTGGCTGGGGCTGCACTGCCTGGAGGATCTGACCTCCTCCACTGCCTGCTTTTCCCGCAGAGGAGAAAAAAGTGGAAACAAAGAAAGAAGAGTCTGAAGAGTCAGATAATGATGATATGGGATTTGGTCTTTATGACTAAACTCCTTTTGTAACATGTTCAAGAA